TCACCTTCAAAGGAATGCCATATATTTGGATCATCAGGTGGGATTTGCAATTTTCTTGTGTGTTTACATTTCTTAATGCTTTTTGCCTGCTCCTATCAAGCTGGAAATATTTGGGGAGAAGGATTTTCAGTGCTTTTTATGAAGCTGAATATTTAATATGTGCCCTTTTTAAGTAGCACAGAATGTCTTAATCGATTACAAATTTGACATGTAATGGAAAAAAAACCCTCAATTTAAAATTCGTCAGAATACAGTAGCCACTCACCAATTAATTTTTCTGTTCTTCATTTCCTTCTTATAATAACACTAACTGTAGCATTTTGTCATCTTTAACCAAAGTTGTAATATATTTCCAAGCTCATATGACACACATGCAATTTATAGAAAATTACTACTACTGATAATTTTAGTTTTCCGAATAAAGAAGAGTTAGATGTTTCTACAGGACACTAAATGAAAGGGAGGTCAAACATGAAAAAATGTTTTAAACAAATCGTAGCACGGCTCATTACTTTTTCTCCTTTTACTCAGTTATTTCTTAAAGATTTATATAAGAATAAGATTTTACTTCTTTACAACTTCTGATAACTTATGGAGTGAGGGTACAAGTCTGTCTTCACTAACATAATTGATTGCCGAGTGAAGAAGTGTGATATCACATACCTCTTTTTATGGCTTTGTTGCATGATCAAATGGGACTTCTGTACAAGTTGTGTGTAAGAAGTTTTTAAATGGCACATTTTTGCTAGCGCTTATAAAAGACAGACATAAGCGGATAGAAGAAATACAAGCAACTAGGTGTCCGTTAGTTAAAAATATATAAATCGCTAGAGCTTTTTCTAATATTCTTTCTTCTAATGAAATTTTTCAGCCTTACACTTAAAACCAGCTGTTCTTAGAACCTATGTCCTACATGTTCCTGTGATAGGATTTCAATGAGTTACAAAAAACCACACATGTGCAGGGAGACACACACAGGCACGTGGGTGCACTTGGTTCACCCAGTGACTTTATTTTCCTATTGTCTCTTGGAAACAAGGTGTGAACTGCGACCAATTCAGTCAGATGGCAACGCGTTTCTAAACATCTTTGTCTTGTCTTAAGGGGCTGCAGGAGGTCCAGAACAGTAGGGAAAAACTGCTTGCTAAATTAGGCCAAAGTATTTCATCCAACTCAAATATTTCCAGTTTATAATGTTTTGGAATAAGGGAATAATTCTGTCTTCAACAGTGTAATTCATTGCCAAGAAAGGACAACTGTCCATGTGAAGTGTAAAACTATGTACCATGCTGTTGCTTAACTAGCCAAGCTTGTCAATGTAATAGACAGGATTAAATGGAGAGAATTGCCTATGTATAACATGCAGAGTGGTAAAAAGGATTTTCTTTTTACTTGTGTCAGATAAAATTTAGAAATGGCATGTGATGTGATAAACGTTAGTTTAGGGAAGTGTCTAAATCTTATAAATGTGCCATAATTACCCCTACCAGAGATGCAAGAAATCACTGCATTTCTTAGAGTAAGAAATCTTGGAATACTTGTCCCAGTTTCTGATCCGTTTTTCTTTTTTTGCCTTGTTTTAATATAATACTGCCACCTACCTGTATGAAATAAATCCCCCTGAGAGTCTTTTTGCTTTGAGTACTGCTGCTTCTAGGGGTGGTATCTCATTTATATCTTTTTTGTTACTTTGTCCATTATCAGTTTTCCTTTATGTTGGGAAGAAAAAAAATCAAAGTTTCTTTTAGTCTAATTGAGGTCTTTCCTCCTCGTTATCCACATCTGTAACCAGCTTGCATAATCACTTGCCCTCTTTGAATTTTAAATGTCCAGCGTACTTAAATTAGGTATTTCCACTCATATTTAATCTCTGAAAATAGCGTCAAAACCTGCTTTGCCTAGAGCATGTGGGGGAACTGCAGTCCTGTCTTCAACTCTCACGTTTTTGGTCACAAAGAATTCAGTACCATACATTCAGTACCATGTAACATTATTGTTACATAACAATAATTAGTAAGGTTTGTACCGAGGTTGCACAGGTGAATTTTCAGGCAGACTAAAGTTCATGTGTAGGGAGGGTAACTGTTAGGCAGTTGCAGTAAGTTGTTGTCTACTGGTTAGGTCGCTTTCTTATCAAGACTCAAGAATATCCCATAGCCTTTTTTAAGTCACGCTTCTTTTTTGAACTGCTGTTTCCTTTTGAGATGCTTCGAAATTCTTATGTTATGCTTTTTGATGTTTTTGTATTATGCTTTCAGAATTTTTGTTGTTGTTGTTGGAGTTCAGAGGTAGAGGAAAAAAAGATTGAAGAGACTGACACGCATATATACAGCCATATGAGTTCTTTGATGTCTTCTGGCCAAAAGAATGATTGTCAGGCATGCCTTTTTTTTTTAAAGTGAGGTTGTGAACCACTCTGCTGGCTCAGGGTTCAAAGAGAGGTGGGAGAGAGGCTCATTTGCCTTTTAAGGAGTAGTTCTTTGGACATAGCTAGCAACCCTAGGCAGTGATGATTTGTTTGCCCACGCAGGACGTGTTATGAGGACACATATAATCTCAGTCTTCTGCATTATCAAATTTTAAGGGATCACTTATTGTATGTTACTAAATCCAAAGCCAGCAGTCTCCTTAATGTATTTGTACCCACTAATTACAATAACAGTAATGAAAATTTGGAACACAGGTTTTTTTTTTCAAATAAAAGCTAGATGTGCTTTTTTTCTCCTTTGTAAATAAAGCCATGGCAGGAGGTCCCACTTGAATCTTTCTGTTACTGCGGAGAATTCCAGCAAACCAGTCTTTTAGTATGCTTCTTAATTTTATGTTGATAGTAAAACTTTTCTTTGGCTGAAAAATCCTTTTCTACTGAGCTCAAGCTATCTATGTAAAACTCTCCATGCGTGGTCGTATTGATCTCAGCATATCCCAGGTTGGTTTGTCACAGTAGAAGCTCTACTACATTTCATTTAGTCTCTTTTTTTTTTTTTTACCCCCACGTTTTTTGAAATGGCCGTTTATGTGAATAGTTTAGGTGTTAAGTTGTTCATGTACTTCTGCTGGTACTTTCATTTTTAGTTTTTTCAGTTTTCAAAGGGTGCGTAAAAATAAACGGAACTTGAACAAGAAGTTGTCAAATAAAGGAGTGAAGGTCCCACAGCCAACGTCCATACTGTCTTGGTGTTTTGCTTCTGTTTTCTTCTCTTCACCACCCTCTTTCTAAGAAGCTGAAGGTGGTTCTGGGGAAAGGTAGTAAATTAAGGGAGGCTGGAATATAGTACAAGGGGGTTTGGATAGAGCTGACAGATATCCTGTATTATCTGATATCTTGTGTTTCAGCCTAAAATTCTATGTCCTCTATTAGCAACATGCAAGATACTACTTTTACTTGTATTTTTCAGGTTATCTGGAAAAGGTAGAGTGAGCTGACCCAGCCACCACTATTGTTCTTTCTGCTGCTGCTTTTTTTCCTTTTCCCTTCCCCAGAGGAAGGAGGGAGGCTCAAGGACAGGGGCTCTGTAGGGTGAAAAAAAGACTCTGCTGGAGGCAGCATTGCTGTAAATAGAAGGCAGGAAGGAAAAGTGCTTTTTCCTTCTTTTTTTGGACAGAAGATTAAAGAGCAGAGGAAAGGTGGGAGAAAAGCTTGGTCAGGTCCTATTGCCATGCTTTTACCTTCAGGAAGCTTGAGAGGAAATGGATAAAACTGCCAATCTGAGCTCAGTCTTCTGTCACCCATAACATATGGTCTTATCTCATCAGTGAGGTCAACTGTCCTCGTAGGGAGCCGCTATTCCAGCTGATCGCTGCCACCAGAACAGCACATACTAAAATGTCATCTGTGTAGGGTCTTATCAAACACGGAAGAGAATTTAGGGAAAGGAAGGAAGAGAAAAATTGTCAATAGCTTGGCTTTACAGTTTTAAACACAAAATACCCACTCAGATGCTCGCTCATAAATAGTGTAGCTGTTCATATAGAGCATAAGTCAAGGAGGTGTTTTTTTCATTGTTTCCAGCTGGAAAATGCTTTTATATATTACATCAGTAAAGATAAAAGCGAAGATGAAGCATCACTTCTGGGGAGAAAGAGTTATTTACTAGAAATAGAAAGTGATAAAGCCAAGACTACTGGATTTTACTTGGGTTTAGTGCTGTGTGGCATCAGGCAGTTCACACTTCAGTTTGGTTTAATTCCAAATTAATTAAACTTAATTCCAATTTTTGTGACTTCTTTAATTGGAGAGACTGTATGAATATAATGCTATTAGTATCGTACATAGGATCTAAAAGGTGTCCTGTACTGTACAAAATATTTTTTTCCTGAAGTGAGAGAAAATCAAGGCTTATTTCTGTTATGAACAAGCACATATTTTTCTTTGAGCTAATTATTCAATGTGAGTAGTGTCCAACTTCAGTTTGGGCATAGCCTCATGATAATGCTTTAAGAGCACAAAATAGGTATCCTCTTCACCTTTTAGAGCATGGGACTTGCCATTGTGTCCCACGTAACGCTGGTTTACTTTGCTAGTTCTTCAGTACGCATTGCCTTGTGTGTGTGCTAGCTTTAGTTAACAGAAGGTTTGTGACAGATATATACTCCCTCAAGAACTGAACTTCTCAATAGTTAAATGTCAGTATTTTTTTTGAAATATTATTTCCTAAAGGGGAAAAAAAACTTACTATATTTGACTTCTACGAAGGCTCTTTGGCTGGCATTACTTTACCAGTTATCTCGGTTTTGATCTTTGTTCCATAAGGGCTTAAGGAACTGGAGCTTTTCTGGAAATAACTGGCCTTTGCAAACAGTGTTAGATAAGCACAGTTAAGTACCAATGGTGGTAAAAATATTGGAAGAAGTCCTATAAATCAAAGTTGGAGCTGGCTGGAGGACAAAACGTTACTTCAGAACATCTTTTGAGCAAATCCGCTTTGCTTCTTTTCTAATCTGGATGAAAACAATCTTTGAACGGTTCCACAGAAATTAATTCCAGTGTTGTCTGTTATCGGTCAGAAAGGAAAAATTTGAAATATTGTAAAAAAGAATTAGCCAAAGAGCCTGAGGCTGTTGAAATTCTCCTAATAAAAATGCATCTAAACCAATATACTCCTAATAAAATATTTCAGCCTCAGAGCAATTTTTCCTTTACGAATATTTCAGTTGGCTGTAGTTTGATTGCTTGGCTTTGGACCTTATTATTGTTGATCCTACTATTGAGATATCTATTGGTATCACCCGGTGCACCCACTCTCTGGACAAAATTTTAATGTAAAGGGAGAACAACTTCTTGTGTCAGTTCTAGTTTTCTGTTTATGTGTACTGTAGATGATGGAGCGAATGGGAGGGGTTGCTTGTTTGGGTTTTTTCCTGCCTTGAACAGAGCATCATAAGCTTGACTTCTTAAGATAAGGTACTCTTTGTTGGGTGATTAACGTAGCAGCTGATCAGACTTTCCTACGTATAAAAAACAACAACAACAACAAAAAGGTCCTCTATACATAACAAGAAAAATGTGTTTCCCATAAGGAGGAAAAAAAAATACTTCTCCAAATGTACAAGTTAGGTTTTTCCCTAAATAATTAGGGGCAAGAAATTCCAAAAGGCATCAAAAACTCAGGCTTTCTGTTGCATTTCAGTCTGTGAAACAAAACCTTGCCATGCAAATTCATGGTGAGTGCATATACATACACAAAGACAGAGTGAAAGATCATATATATTTATACACGCACTTCCTTCCTGTGTAACCATACTTGAAACAGGTATTGCTGAAGAGGTCCTCAAGTTTCCAACAGAAATCGGAGGGGGATTGTGCATTAAGTGACTTTTCAATTTCTTTTGGAGAGGAAAACCCTCTGTTTTCATAATTTTTCCCTTACTGTTAGGAAAGTCTCCTTTTTGAAACCAAAAATCCCATACTATTGTCTGTGTTGCATACTTTTCTGAAATCCTAAATGTATGCTATTTTTATTGTAATAATCAAAGTATCTGGTTTTGACATTTGCACACGTATCAACACTAATCATTATAGAAAATGTCTCACCAGTTCCAAAATAGTTTCACGCCCATATATGGGGGTGGATAAAATACAGTGAGTAATGATTCAAAGCTCCTAAGTATATAAATCAATGCCGTATATAAAGGCATTTTGTGATACATGAAAATAAGTCTAAACCTCGCTTCAATATTCAGAGGCTGGGAATGCTTATATCTTTTTAAGGTACGTTGAGTTATTAAATCTATAATTTAAAAGGTTTTCTGATAAAGGTTTGAGTTGTCCTATTGCATAATCCGATAATACTTTTCATTTCAATATTGTGCAAAGCTGGGCTTATTTTAAGCATTTTTATTTTTAAAAAGGGAGAGTGTTGGTGAATAAATATTACATTGGTTTTGAGCATTTATGTGGTTTTGCTACATTTGTTTGATATTACTAAACTTTTCAGATGTTGATATTACTGAATGATGGAATATATAAAAAGCATGGGATAAAATGTAATCTACTGCATTATTAGAAAAAATTAAAGTAGAGGCTATATTTTACAGTGTCGTCTTTCAAATCTAGCCATGCTGTAAACTGATGTTTGCTGTATGCTCCTCCTGATTTGAAATAGATGAAAGAGAATGAACCTTTAATCACCATGGTTCACACTATGATTGAGAACTCGGCGCTAAGACCGCAACTGTACCAGCAAGTAAGGTCTTGGATAGTGAATGAAATTGCTTTATCATCTGCGAAAATTTTCCTTAGTGACAGTTTTGGTTGTTCCTCAGAATTATTCATAACATTGGTGTTTCTCTTATTTGCTTTGGAAAACCACAAGTCATCCATGCTTTATAAAATGCTGCAATATCGTTAGCATGGCTTTTGCTGCGTTTTTGTTGTTAAGTATTAAATGTACCCTTTTGAATAACTTTTTCTGTCTAGACTATTTAATTAGTTGATGTTTTATGCAGGTGTCCAGTAAATTCATGAAACTTCTAATAAGCTTCCAACATTTGTCTTAGCATGATTCTCTGCAATTAGTGTTCAAAGGTGCTTCTTTCTTTTGACCACTACAAAAGCATGTGAGTGGTGTTTACCTGGTCATTTCTGGCAATTTTGTTTTGTTCTAGGAAGTGGATTTACAAGTTTTTGTTTGCACCTACCAAGCCTTTAGCCACTGAAGAAAGGAAGGATCAAAATTACTTTGATCTGGGGACTGTAAATCCAAAAGGCAGTGTCTGTTCATAAAGTCACAGCAGACTTAATCGTGCACACTTACAGAGTATCTAGTGATGGTTGTAAATGGTAAGATGGAAGAACCACCAGAAATGTGAATGGAAATATTGTCTGTGAGTTGAGACCTGCGTTAACTTATGAGCATGGCCAATACGTATCTGTTGGCACTGCAGTGTCCTAGGGATACTGAGGCTTAACTGAATAGCTCCTGTCACATCAGGGAATGTTTAAGAAGTTTCTAGCCTCAACCGCAACAAAGATGTTGTTCTTACTTAAACGACTGTTGCAGTTTGCAGCAGATGAGGTGTGCGATTCTGGCTGCCAGTCAGAAGGGAGTATCTGACCAGTTCCCTTACACTTGCATTTATGCCCTCGTGAGCCAAAATGACATATAAATGTTGCATAGTTTGAAGAAAAGGAGACGTTCTGCCATGTAAAACAGTCATTTATTAGTGATTAATGCTTTGCCATGTTTCTAAAAAATGCTGCAGCTTAATTTCATGTTTCATTTTTTTTGGAAGTCAACTCTCCACATTGTAGATTTGCTCGTGATCCAGAGAAGTTGCAAGAAAAATCTCAGCTTTCCAAAGGAAGTTGGGTTGTGAGTGACTTTGATTTCAGGATCATCCAATTTGTGCTCCTGTGTGCAAAATAGGAGCTTTAACATGGAACCTGAAGGAACTGTTTGGGAGAGGAATGGGAGAAGTAAGGTGCCCTCAAGCCCTAATTGAAATTGTTTTTTGTAGTTTTTTTTAAAGAAGCCTAGCTGTTAAGGGTTTTTTGAAAGCAAATCAGTTTTCTGTAATAGAGTATGTAAGACACATAAGTCAACATGTATATATAATGAACAGAGGTGCTTTGGCTGTGTCAGGGTAAACTAGCTCAGCTTGTAATATTAATATAGACACATTTGAGGTATAGCTGTGCCTGGGCTAGTTGACCCACTTATTTAGGGTTACTAATAAATTTCAGAGTGCTGTCTTGATGAAGCTATGCTGTCAGCTAAGGTATCGCTACCCAGCACTGCCTTCACCTCATAGACATACCTGCTGCTTCGTATTTGACACTGAATAAGCACCTTCTTTGACATTCTTGTCAAAGAAACAGTGAATCTAACGGGTCATGAAGATTGAATAACCTTTTGTCACTAGAGATGTGGTCTCTTCAGGTCCGAGCGTTTGTGACATGTTGGCAGGCTTGTGCAGGAGCACCCATGTATTGCATAAACTGGAGAACAGCAAGACCTTCTGCTTTCACGGATGAAGTTTCCTATACAAAATACTGCATAAACTGACTTCCAGGAAAGGATAAAAATGCACTCAAAATTTCACTGCCTAAATAGTCTTCTAAAGTTTTGTGATGCAAAACTAATCTGTTTAAAATTCTGCCATCTTAATTAAAGTTTAAACAACATATAATTTTTTTTATTCAAATAAAATAAATTGGTTTTACCAGTCATCTTACCCACTGCAGTTTTAAAGAAATGTAAACAATTGGGAGAAGCCTCTCTGTAAGCGACTGAAACCTGTTTTGTTGTCAAGATGATAAACTAGTTTCTGATGACCGTAACCATTCCTTATGGGTAGAGGATCTTTCTTTGCTTCAGTTCAGTTTTATGACTAAGCTCATTCAGAGTTAAGCAAAGGAAAGCAAGAAAAGCTTGTATTTAATTAAAAATTAAGGTGTCTTGCTTCCTGTTTGTTTGTAATGATTAACGGTTCTTTAGTAAAATAGCTAAAATAGGTACTATTTAAAATGTGTTATTTAAAAGACATTTTTGTTTGTGATTTGTTACATCTTCACAGTTACGTATATCACTTTGACTTACATCAGTCTGCTCTACAGACTGTACTGTAAATTTACAAGTATAAGCCAGGGCACCGATTCCATTTGTACAGACAAGAAAAACAGAGGCTTTTTATGGCCTGGACGCATTTCTACCTTGGGTTTTTTTGCTTCTTTCTAATATGAGGTGAGGAGTGTTAATCTTGTTTTCTAAAGCAGTATATGCTGATTTTAAAAAGTAGAATTATCCTCAGTTCCTCTTATGTGTGTGAGTTCCCTAAAGGGGGAAAAATGAAAATCTGAGTGCAACAAGCTAACATCCAGGTCTTTGCTTGGATAATTGTTCTTAATACATTAAAAACGTATAAAAATAGTCCTTGATTTTTTGCTCTTATAAGGATAGGGAGATCTTGTTTATGGCATACTTTAGTAGTAGTAGTAGTAGTAGTAGTATAGCAACTGTATACATTTAAACTTAAGCATATTAGATTTTGAGATTTGTAGGTAGAAGTTTTTTTCAGGTTTTGTTATGAACATGAGATGATTGTATTTGAGCTAAAAATTTTCTATTTCCACTATGTATTTGAAATGTTATCTGTCGCATTATGCAAAATTAGAGGAGAATCTTGCTTACTGTGGGGTAAATGCCCATTTGCCCTGCTTCCTGATAGTAAGAAGTACTTTAAAAAAAAAAAAAGCCTCTTGGAAGTCTGACTTTAACCTCGTGCTCCCCACAAAATGTCCTGGATTGTCCTGTTTTAATTTCCAAAGTGCAGTATCTTGCAGAGATGCTTAGTGTGCTCTCAGGGTGTGAAATTTCCTGCCATTTATTGAATCAGAATGGTTAGCAGAATCTGAAAATAGCTTATAAGGTAATGAAATAATACTGTCACTTAAATGTTTTTAATATTGACTGCTTAAATAGGTTTAACCCCTCATGTCTCCAGAGAGAGATTTGCCTAATTGCATTTGTTTGGGAAGAAATTTCCCTCTAAGGACATCTTATATTGTGTCCATTGTGGTGGATTTATCCACTTCTATGATTCGTCTGGTACTGGCGTTTGACGGAGATGGGGACTGTACAGGGGGACTGTAAAGTAGATGACAAATTATTTCTAACAGATGGAGGTTCAATTAAGGTCACTTTACCTTTTCACATGTAAGATACATGTTTGGCCAAACTCCGCATGCGCAGTTTGCCTTTCAAAAATGGTAAGTTCTGTTTGTAGGTATTCAGGGTGCTGGTCCTTAATGTTTGGGAGCTGTGCAGTGTATTTCAGCACGTTAAGAGGAATGGACTTTTTTGTACTTGGGTAGGCAAATGTCGAGGAAAAGTGTAGAAGTCAGCAGCAAGTCACGTCAGTGGTTCAGTAGGTGGCACTCTTTCTCTGAAATTACTGTCCTGCTAAAGTATTTGTAGGAACGATTTGGTGAGAGGCGTTTGTTGGACGTGACATAAAATACATTTCGATAACTTGATCGCTGGAGCTCTTATAATGCATTTTCCAGGGTTATGAGGTTGTTAACCTTGCTTGTAATGCATAATTGCATTTTGTCTACTGCAATTCCTCTCATAATTCCAGTAGGATGGAATAGCATTCTGCACTTTTTGCCTTAAGCTGATTTATAGATGTGCTGTGGAAAGAGGAGATGCTGTTTCGTCAGAGATGGATTAAGTGTTTCATACTATTTTTAGAGTTTTCGCGTTAAGTCTACGTAAAATGTTGCAGTAGAAATGTTGAAATGAAGTGGCTCTCCAGCAGTGCCTATTGTGGGAAACTAGTACTGCTGACAAAAGCAAGAAGCTGGCAGCAATTTTAAGTGTGATAGGATTTTAATAAGAAGAATTAGCACGTGTATAGTATTCTTTGAAAATGTGTTTTCATTTTCCAAATTCTTAAAATATGTTCCTTTTAGGAGGTAGGCAGGGATAAGGATGCTGGATTGGCAAGCTATTTTAAACTCAGCTATAATTAAGGTTGAAATGCTAAAAAAATAAATGCCTCTTTTTTAAAAAAAAAAAAAAAAAGGGAAAAAAACACTGGCTTGAAAAAAGAACATTACATTTTTCCAGGCAAGCCATATAAAATGCTGAGCAGTGTCTTGGGAAGATGTATTTATCTAATAGGGGTAATATCTCTTTTGTAGAATCTTTCTGTTGTGAAATATAACTAGGTTTTCTCTGTAAGTTAAAGACATTTGGCCATGTTTATGAGTTTGTTTTTCAAATATTTCCATTCCTCATTTTTCTCTCATTGTGATAAAATCAACAGTTAAAAACCACAACTCCACAATAGTAGGAGTTTAAATAGATATCTTAATTTTTGTGACATTCATGAGGTGCAAAAGTGCTGTGGCTTTTTTCATATTCCAACACGTGTTTTCGTAAAATGTCCATTTCAAATAAAGTTACTGTGTGGTTTTAATACACTATACATACTTTTAAATTGTCACCAGGTGCATTTGCATGAGGTATGTGGACATAATGTCTTGAAATGAAACACTTAAGTGTGTTGGAGATTTATTGTATGTTTGGAATGCTTGTCTGATTAACCCTTCCCTAGTCCTTTTATTTGTAAGTGTCCTTTAACATGGACTTGTGTTTTTATAGTCTTTCTTGCACTATTAAGTCACGATGACCTTATTATGACAGATACATGAAAGGAAAGCATCTATGTTGGGACTCAGTGCACATGTGTTTTTAATTAAATAGAATATGAAGGTTGATAGTGTTACGCCAATGCTTGCTGTATAGGATATTAAGTAGTTACTGTATGCGACAGTCCATTCTAAAATGGGGAGCTACCTTTTTTCATGTAAAATATTTTTAAATCTTGTTACTGGTCAGTTCAGAGACTGAAAGAGTTAAGAACTTAATGGGAGGAGCTGTATGAAAGTAGTTCGAGGATACCTTACATGCTGACTGGCATGAGGAGACGAGTTTGCCTAGGTCCAAAGGTAAAACAGAAGGGCTTCCATTTATGGCATTTCTGGGAATACTCTGTTGGAGGGGAGGGAATCCATATGGAAAAAGTAGGCAGAAAAGTGTTCGGCGGCACTTATTGGACATATGTCTGTAATGAGATATTTTACACATATTTTGTATACTTAGGTCACTCTGTTCTGATTTCAGATTCACATCAGAATATCCTCCTTGTGAATACACTTGACTTTAGTGGGCCTAGAATGGTTAATTCCAAGTAGAATGAGTCCCTGTATTTAGAATGCACATAAGAAAACTTACATAATGATGCATAACTGTGTCTAGGTGTACTCTGGCAGTTTCACCTTCCTACATAATCCATGTTTGAGTTAGTTGTACATCTTTAAAAATCCAGTTTGCATTAGAAATATAGCCAGTTAAGTTAATGCAACTTTCTACTGACAGTCTGCTTGACATTCCATTTACTTACCTTCATTAATATTTATTGGCTAAAAATATATTGTTCAATGTGGTATGTTTGACTTCCAAGCAAAAGCTGAATTCTGTATTACAACTCTTAAACTGAACAGTAGTTTCATTTTCATAGTCCAATTAAGTTGTTTTATGGCAATATTATTCTTCCTTATAGTTAACACAAGAAGAATGTAGGGGTACACTATACAAATATAGAACTGAAGAGCTGGATATTGATGTAAGTCATTTGTATTTCTTTCTTGGAAATGTTGGTATTTCTCTTTATTTTGATAATAATTTTCCCCTTGACTTCTGGGTTTGAAACACAGTTCATATAGGTGATTACCAACAGAAGTTGCTTTGTGAAATTGAGGGGCATAAGATCCTTTTTGTAATAAGCTTCTAACTTGCAGGAAGTATTACATTTTAGGCTGAAATTTCAAGTATTATATCTATCTGTTCAAAGGTGAGTTGCTTCTAGAAAGGAATTAATTACTTTAGAAGCGAAAAACTCTGTAGCTGTAGTTCAGTTATGAGCATGAGAGATGTAATTTCTCAGGAAATATGACCGATGTTCCAAAACTGAAATTTGGCATGGGTAGTTACCTTTCAGAGTATTGGGTTGCTAGTTACTAAAGAAAAGGGGCTTGGTGTTTAAAGTCAGTTTTAAAATTGGTGGTGAAAAACACGCACAAATAGTCATACTGTATACGCATACATATGCATGTCTAGTCATTCTTGCACAATGCAACTAAGAGTAGAGATGCTGATTTAAGGGATGGTACTTTAAGAGTAAAAAAGAAAGCAGGCTTCCAGGGTTATCTTAGAGTTAAAAAGTCAGAGCAGCACAAAATGAACCATAGGAGTTGTTCAAATAGAAAAGTAAACTGGTTCAAATTGGTTAGGGTGCACTGAACAGTTATTTGCTCGAGCTGGAGTGGAACAGTTTTAGTCATAGCCAAGCCTCGATCAGAGGTAAAACAGAGCAGAACATGGATAGTATTAGTAACTAACTATTAAAAACCTGAAGTGAACCATGGGAAAAACTGGGAATGTATGCAATATTCTTTATAATACTGAGGAATATGTAAATTAAAATGGTATTTAATACCTGTTATTAAGTTGTAAAGATTTAGCTGTAGAATCATAAATTACATGTTTTGAGCCACGCTGTTTCAGGTTATAACACTTACTTCATAATATCTTAAGAGGGTTTCTTTAGGTTAATTTGAAAATACAACGCTGATGCCTTCAGAGTTTTAGAATTCACATTTTGTGGTAATAAAATTTTATATAGATTCTTGTAATGATTTGATCAAGTTTTATATTTTGATTGCTGAAGTTTTTAAAAACGAAATCCTAATTGCGATCATTTTCTGTTATACTAGGCTAAGCTTAGCCGTTTATGTGAACAAGATAAAGCTGTACAAGCACTGGAAGAGAAGCTTCAACAGCTACACAAGGAGAAAGTAGGACAATTGTATTTATTACCTAAAGTGGATGTTATTTTACATGCTTATTATCAGAACATTGGTAACTGAAATAAAATGAGAATCAGCCCAATGATGCAGAACATTAAAAATAATTCTTTTTGTTATAATAGTACACGCTTGAGCAAGCTTTGCTATCAGCAAGTCAGGAGATAGAAATGAATGCAGATAATCCCGCAGCCATACAAAATGTAGTCTTACAGAGAGATGACTTGCAGAACGGACTCCTTAGCACTTGTCGAGAAGTATCGCGAGCTACTGCAGTAAGTAATACGTTCTTCCCAGTAAAACTCAATGAAGTGTTAAACGATTATCTTCATGTTCATATTCTTAATTGGGTTGTCTTTTGTTATTTTTCCTTACGTTCCAGCAAAACTCAGTTGTCTTTTACTTGCTTGTATTTTTGTCAAAGGCAGCTGGAAAGTGATCTTTTCACTGTATTCTTCGAGTAGTCTTTCTTCACTTTTTTTTTTTTGGCCAGGAATGAGTGCATGCTGACTCTTAATTGGTGTGGTAATTTTCATCTTTATAGTATGAAAAATTGATTACAGAAGTAGTAAATAATGCAAATAAGCTATTTTACGTGGTGGCAAAATAGTAGCAAGCACAAATTTTATCAGATACTTGATCAGATAGGTGACTTTAAGCAAAAGCAGCTGCAGGATGAAAAGAAGAAAAGATTATACTGTCGTGGTCTGTCTTAACAGTGGGCCATTATATTTAAAAGATCTTTCAAGTTATGCACTTTCAAAAACCTAAAAAAAACCCCAAAACAATAAACAAACAAAGGAAAGGAAGGGAATTGCTATTTACTGTCCTTTTCCACTTCTTGATGGTTTCTATGCTGAAATGACAAGGTAAAGAATCATTTTTGCCTACTTACCTATATATTCAAAAACGTATTTCAGTGTCAAATTCCAGTGGTTTGCTGTGGTGAAATTGATACAAAGTAGGCCCCGAAATACTGGTTTTAGGCTGAACGTTAGACTATGTTGTAAAAGGAATTGGTGGGACAAGGAAAAGGGAATCAGGGGAAAGGAAATCCTCAGGATATACTTTCCCTCATTAACTTTTTAATTTATGCTAAATTGAGTAAATTGCTTGATGTAGGCTTAAAAAGTGAGATGATAGAGCTGACCTCAAAGAAGATTTTCTTTTTGCACCTTCTCCCGTCTGTTGTTTGTAGTTTCACATATGTAAAATAATGGTGTATCAGCAGGCCTGGGGCATTCACTGGTGACCTTACAGGCAGGGTTGGATGACTTACATTTGTCTTGCATAATATATTGTGTATACACACACATGCTGTGCACTCACACATATGTATTCTGTGTGATAAAAGAGACAAATTTGCATCCATTTTTGTGGTTTTCTGCCTCAGTGGAAGGACAGCTTAAGACCCACATGCCTGCTGACTATAAAGACATATTCTGAAGATCTTGCCCTTGCCTATCTTTTGGTTGTGAAAAGACAAAATGCTGTTTGTTCGAATTCCATTCAGTATCATTAGAAAAATCAAAAAGCTGTTTAAACATTGCATTCTCTAAAATACATATTTATTTATTGCTGATATCTATTTATGCATTACTTCCTGAAGTTTCATGCCACTGAATGAAGAAAAATAAATAGCCTTTTTTTTTTTTTTTTTACTTGAATATGCATCTGTAATTCTTTACTTTTGTTTGCCGCTGAAGAAGAAAAATAAATTGCCTTTTTTTTTTTTTACTTGAATATGCATCTGTAATTCTTTACTTTTGTTATATACTTAGGAACTGGAAAGAGCTTGGAGAGAATATGATAAATTGGAGTATGATGTAACTGTAACAAGGAGCCATATGCAGGAGCAACTTGAACGGCTTGGAGAAATTCAGGTGTGGCATAGGTCTTAAAGTACATTTAAGTCATTTCAATTTCTACGATTTTGTTTAAAAACTACACAAATGAAAAAAGGGGGACACATGGTGCATTACCTTACAAGGTATAAAAAGAAATTAAAAGTTTGTAAGTTGTTGAAGCTACAGCACTGGTTTTCCTGTGTCTGGAAGCCTCTTCTTTCTGTTTCAGTGATGGTGTCCAAAATGGGGTAGTTTTCTCAGACCTTACTTGCTATGACAGTCATAGTCATAGCAATTAGTAGTCCTTCCATTCAGTACATTTTAAAATGCAATTAAATCATTCTATCAAAATAAATTATAATAAAACATATTCTAAGCATTGCTTCAGGTCTTACATCTGAAGAGTTCTGACGTGTATCTTATTAGCTCGCTGTGCTGTGGAGGATTGGACAGTTAGTGTAAGTTCTGCATTTCTAAGGAGATCTTTCTGAGAGACACATACACACACGGATGTGCATACATTATCTGGAATAGGCTGATGGGTGTGGTCCATGCTGGGAGGCATTAAAGGCTATTTGCTCCAGGGATTGATTTTCTATGCAGCTATGAAAGGGAGATTACAAGGAAGCCCAAGAGCTGAGAAATTTTGTGTTCTGCAGTCCAAAGCATGCATGGCTGTGAATGCAAATAGGCCCACAGTTTATATGCTAGCATGCAAACAAACACCGTGTTCATCTCCGCCTATTTTAGGGTTGGAACTGATGATTCCTTTTCTTTTGTTGTATGTAGGTCTCCTGTGCAAAGTTTGCTTGGATTTTCTTTGGCGACAGTAGATACAATTCCATCCTTAAGGGGAGTTTGAACTAGCAAATTGCTGTCAAATTAACTGACACACTACGAAATTACTTAATCTTGTACTTCTTGTTTCTGACAATATTTGAATGTTGCATTTTTATGGGAAAGGAGAGTGTCTGTCATGACTGCATTTTATTTTCCTTCATTGGGAAAGGATATGCGGTGTAGTCTAAAGCAAGAAAAAGGTTTTCAGTTTTTTCCTCTTGCAATGTATTCTAATTTATCGCCTATACGTGCTGTTTATTTACTGGCAGACTGAGTCAGCAGGGATACAGCGTGCTCAGATTCAGAAGGAACTGTGGAGAATTCAAGATGTCATGGAGGGTTTAAGTAAACATAAACAGCAAAGAAGCTCTTCAGAGGCAGGTAAACTGATTGTTTTTATCTCGTAGGAAGTGAGATTGGATCATACACATTTTTGAAGGATAAACTCCATAGTTGTTTTTGTATGTTTGAAAAAATGGTACAATTGCTGAGAAAAGAAGCAATCATCTATTTTAAGTTGATGCTTTGTGTATTTGTTTGATAGCAACAGGTTATAGTTCATATTTTAAAAGCTATTTATTGAAAACAATTTTTCTCTTTGTTTCTATGCCTTCCCCCCTCCCTCCAAACAGGCATCATGGGATCAAGGACATTTTCAGCTATTAAATATAAAAATGAGGTATGGTTTTAGTATATTTACCATTTTAGCATCACTGAATTTCTAATATACATATGATAAAAATGAGCATTATTGTAATTGTTTTAAGGATGCCTGAAGTATGAATTCAGTATGTTTCTGTGAAAATATTGCATTATGAATTAGTTTTAAAGACTGGTATCTCCACTAGTAATTCTAACACTCTCATTTGTTCTGTGTCTTTATATTCTCACCGGTATGTTTCTCTTTTCCATTTCTCACCTTTTCCTTCCCCTAGGCTCTTACCCTAGAAATATAAACCCTGATTTATGGATTTGTTTTCTACCCACCACACTTTTCATGGGAAGAAATACATTGCTTTAATATGTCTATTCACATATTGAGCCTGGTTCTCAGATGGCCAGAGCACCCACAAGAACAGCTGAAACTGTGGGAGCTCCCAAATGTTCAGCTCCTCTGAAAATCTGGCTAGAAGTTACAGTTTTAAAGGGACATTGTCATGGTTGTCTAAAGTTTATGCAATATACATCTGGCTTACAGGACTTTCTAAAGGTCTAATTTATATACAAGTCTTCAAAAGATACTGAATTTAGTTTTTAAAAGGATGATTCAGAGAGTTCATACATGTCCCAACGGAAAGTGCAGGTGTTAGCTTATCAAGATTTTCAATTCTAAATAATGAAACTATTGAAGTATCTCAGTCTAGGTGGTAGTAATAAAATAAAAAAGCAAAGAAAATAACAAAAAAAACCCCAAAGAAAATAAAGCTGTCTTGGCCTTTTTTTTTTAGTGTGACATTGTCCCTTTAATTCCAAAATCTATAGCTGGTGTAGCTATGGTAATATATTTTTCTTTTTAAGTTATAAATAATTGTAACAGGTGTACACATCTAAATAAGGTGACTATTCTGCAATCTTTAGGAAGAGGAAGTAGTCCCACCTCGTCCTCCACTCCCTCGGTCCTATGACTTTACAGAGCATCCTCCCATAATCCCCCCTCTGCCCAGTGATAGCAGCTCCTTGCTCTGTTATAGCAGGGGCCCAGTACATCTGCCAGAAGAAAAGAAGATTCACCAAGTTCAAGGATATCAGAGAAATGGATCTTACTGTGTAAGTGGCTTAAACTGCCACATTGTTCTTGAAGCATCCCCCTTCCTTTGCACAGTCACAATTTTTATTTTGTCATCTGGCTACTTTTGTGTTATGTTTTCACTTTTGGCTACCTAGTTTTATTTATAGCTCCATCATCTGCTCTTCACATTTTCCTGTCATATATTCTGTGCATATATAAAATGTCTTAAGACTTAAATGCGCTGTACCTGAGTAAATTTCAGAAAACTAAATTCTTCTACTCACAAGTTCTTAAAAAAACTCTAGGCTCAGAATCAGTTTTTGCTGAAGCCTTATACAAATTTGTTTCCTGAAGACCATTTAAAAGCAAAAAAAAAACCACAAAACCCCTCCGCATTTTTATGGCAATTTTTTTCTGTAATTTCTGAAAGTCTGCAAATGCTGTTACTCAAATTAACTACAAAGAAATACTGCTGCAGTAGCACTTGAACAGTGAAACATTATCTTAAAGCGAGAGCAGAGTCATCACAAAATAGCTGTTTGGAGTCTTAAGACATAAATGCTCGTATAAAAATGCCTGTTTATTTACCTCATAACTTGTCGTTCCTCAGGGTCCTGATTATAGGCTTTATAAGAGTGAACCGGAGTTAACTACAGTAGCAGAAGTGGATGAGTCTAATGGCGAAGAAAAAACAGAACAAATTTCAGAATCAGAACCTACAGCTAAAGGTTTGTCCCCAGGCACGGTGTTCACAACGCTTCAGCCTTTTTCACAAGGCATACAAAGTTTTAACTGTTACAGAAGCTATGTCATCCTTCGTATTTTTGTAGCCTGTCCATTTCTTAATATGATGAAACAGCTTCCACGATAAAATAATGATTTAATTATATGACGAGAAATATTTCAGTCAATTACACCGCAGAAAAATCAAACATTACACTCACCAACAACCCTGAAATCCTTATTGACACCATGTCTAATCACATCACTCACATTCCCCACACATGGTTCCCTTGAACAATTACCCATTTTATGTTCTTGGCCTTGAACAATTATTCAGTTTTTGAATCAAGCTCCTGATGTTATGTCACTGGAACGTCCAAAAAGGCAGCACCACAGAATTTTCAGGCTCTTATAAGGCAGGGAAACAATGTCTTTTTCTTTTTTTAATCTTGTAATTGTTGAATTGCCTTCTGTCCTCTGATATAATAGGAATAATGATCATGACCTTGGAGTGTACGGACAATAAAGGTCTTTGCAATTGCTAAATGCTTTAGATTCTTCTCTTCATCTAGCTTCCATAAAAGCTACTAATTGCTTGGTGGAGTCTTTTACCAGGAAGCGCTTCTCAATTCTGTTTGTTAAAACACACAGAATAGTTTGTTAAAGGTGACTTCAGGAAAAGCAGTTTGAGCACCTCCCAGAAACTGAGTGTTAAGAGCTTTTGGAAAAGTAACTAAACTTATCCATTTCTTTACCGTAACAGTTGATGTTTCCAGTGCCAGCAAGATCACTGCCTTCTGTTATGGTAGTTTGACTAAGCACGCACATAGCAGGCTGGTGCAACAGTACCAGAATTTGACCAAGAACTATGATCATATAAGGATATTATTTTCATCAGAACAGTAATGGAGGTTTTTAAAACTAAGGTTAGCATACAGTTTGGGTGCAAACAATGTGAATGGCCCCATGATATATGATATAATTAAGCTTGCACTTACCAGACAATTAGGCAATTCAGATTCACTATGGTATTTGCTGAGGTATAATGTTCACTTAAGATAGGTATTAAATCTCTTTTAACTTGGTGGTGAAAAGTGCAAGGTTTAGCCTGAGATTTGCTAATCATCAGACACCCAAATCAAGGAAGTTGCCTTTCTGACAACATACCTAGGTTTTATTGACCTGTGGTGTTCCAGATTGTTTATGGTAATTTATGACAAGAGGTGAAGTAATTGTCAAGACAATATAAGAAAGCCTGCACTGATGATATAAAGCAAACCAACACTTTTTGAGCATCCCGGTCTGCTTTCTATCTTGTTCTGTAAGGACAGAAGTAATTTTATTATGTCCATTTGTAGAAAAACAGTCCTCAGTAAGGGAAAGCAATAACACAAATTCTTCCAATATAAATAATATTTTGGGCTGGGGGAGAGAATAGCTGCAGTGGTAGCAAGCAGCAAGAGGCTTTTTATCTTCTTAAACAACAGTGTGAAGTGGGTTTAGCATAGCTGTGTTTTATCATCTGGTCCACGCTTTTGAGCATGTGAATTTTCTAATGGATATTTCTTGTTCTATGTATTCACTTATAATAACAATCCCCATGCAATAGAAAAAATATAACCATTCCTGTTTTTTTTTTAATAGTGCGTATGCCATTACAACTATATGCTGTTTCAACAAACGTTTTTATGCCATTCTATTTTAACAGCTTATAAGCTGAAAAGGAAACAAACTCAAAGGCAGCTCATCTCTGCAGTTTTTCTTTCTTGCTGTTTTAAGAAGTCATACTTAAATGACGTAGTTTCCTATTGAGGGTGGTTCTAAAAATTGGTAAATTTCAGAGGAAATTTAAAAAATGTTTTTCTAGTTCATTGTGCGTGTTACTGTACTAGACACTTCTCATGTTTCTTCTGTCAGCCATTTCCCTCTCTTTTCAAATGTGAACAGTCAAAGAGAAACATTTTAATGGGACTATGTAAAGTAACCCTAACAGCTGTCTGCAAGCAGAGGAGTATTTATGACCTGAATGGTACATAAAGGTGATACAAAAGGAAAATGGACTTCTGCTGTGTTTTATCCTCTTTACATCTAAAGGAGACCCAACTGTTGCTTTATAGTTTTTGTTTTGAATGATGGATTTGACATTCAAATACCTCCAGACTATTTTGTCAGCCTATCAAACAATTTGGAGAAAGAGTTGAGCCTTCACCGAGTCAATATCTCCTCTGAAATCTGTGCAACTTCAGGAAAAACAAAGAGAAATAATTTGGCTATCAAAGAAGACATTATATCTATTTTTAGGCAAAATCAGTGAGGAAACAATATTTTTAATAGTTGGATTTCCTGCATGTATCAAGAAGCAAAAATGAAGCATGTGTTATTTAATTATATCTATATATTTTGGTAAGTTTTAACTCACTTCAGTTTTCTACCAGCTTAATTACATTTTGGCAGGGCTTCTCTAAGTAGAAAAACTAGTGGTGGGTATTGTTACGAGAGGCTGAATGTAGTGGACATCAGGACACAGAGTATCTTCAGCTCCCCACCAGGCAGAGCCTGGCTGCTGCGGTTCCCTGTCCCTAAGTACAGCGAGCTGCATGGCTGAGGACGTAGTCCCACTGTGCACAAGCACAGCCGCAGCTAACCACAACAGGTAACGTCAACAGGTTTGAGACCAGTGCTGTTATAGGCACCGCATAAACAAGACCAGCACTCACGTGAAGGTGAAACAACACAAATAACATGATCCTGTTCTCAGGATCAGCTGTTCGCCAGCTAACCAGGCTCAAAGCTTGCTAGCTGATCTCATACACATATAGACATGAGCACACAAATGAGCACCTCCAAGAGCTGGCCAGACCTATGGTATCTCCATCAGTCAACTCTCAGTACCTCTGGCCTCTCCAGTATCTGAATCCTAGACCTAAGGTCTCTTGGACAGCTGACTCCTACACCTTGTATTCTGCTTGCCATCTAGTCTTGTCTTAAGTTCATTAGCATCTCACAGACAAAAGGTTCCCCCTGGTAGCAGATCCAGACTTACGGTCCTTCTGGTAGCCAACCCGCAGACCTGCAGTCTTTCCTGTCTTTGTCCCCCAGACCTATGTATGATCTCTCTGCAGCTGTCTCCTACTGGCAAGCTAGACTGGCTTGAAGATCAGTAGCATCTCTCACGCTCTCATGTGTAGAAGAGAAAGCAGACTCACATGGAAAAAAGAATAAAATTTAATAAGATAGGACAGACTGCAATGCTTGGTCAGACAAGCATACTGACAAACAGCTTGTTTATGCAAAGCTGGCCCCTTTTATTCCCCCTCCTCTCCGTTATTCCACGCCTGTTCTTTCCCATCTGCTTTGCCCCATCCCTTTCACAGCCTTTGTTTCCTCCCAAATAAACAACCCACCTATAATTACTTTTTGTTCATTGGTCCCACTTTTGCTAAATTTTGTATCTTCGACACCATTATCTAGGTAAGCTTGGCCTTAAGCGGTAGCACTGATACGGTTACCTAGGCACTCTGCTGGCTTTGCAAACTCTATTCCACAAAAAGTTCCCAGTACTGACGTCCAATTGTCAGTTTGGCCATCTTTCACGTAATTTCCCCTTAACCACCTGTGAAATCTAGCTGTTCCACACGGTGCTATCTAACTTGTGTCTGTTTCTCACAGACAAAATTTTTGTGGTTACGTTTTTATGTCCAGCAATTTCTTGTGCTGTGTGCAGTAGTTTCCCATGGGGAAAGTCCTCTGCCTGCATACCTGAACAGACGTGATAGTTAGGCATTAAGATCTTTGCTGTCTTTTGAAGGACAGCTTCCAAGGCTGGCAACATGTATTTTCTAGAAAGCAATAAACTGTTTTGGCAGTGTTTTGCATAGAACTTAGTACGTTGCTTTACTGTTTTGCAGGCTCACATTTTCCTGTGGGAGTTGTACCACCCAGAACCAAATCACCAACGCCAGAGTCTTCAACAATAGCATCCTACGTCACTTTGAGGAAGAATAAGAAGATAGATCTAAGAACGGTACTTTAAAATAACCTTCGAGCATTGATGGATAGTGATGTGTTCATTTCTAAGTTTAAGTTCTGTAGTTGCTTCAAAAGTTGTAGTTACCTTTTTAATTTTCTTTACAAAAAAATTCACTGTTCTAAAAATATACTAAATTAGTGGAGACAGCTGTAGAAAGAATGACAAAATTATAAAGGTCGTGTATGTTAAACTGCGTAGAGACAGTCAAACTGGGCAAGAACTAAATGGTAATGATAAATCTACTAAGCTGCTGAAGTTCAGGCTTGAGTTGCAAGGACATAAAGCGTCTTAGGTTAAAACTTTGAAGGACTTGTATTTGGCTTCTGGGGCAATTTAACAGCCCTTGCGTAACAAATAGTGGCTTTTCTTTATTTAACTACTAAAATGATTTGGGAAGTACCTAAAGCGGCCAGAAAATAAGGGTACAGTAAGCAATATGTGGGTAATAAGCCTGGAATTTCAGATTAGAGAGTCCTGTAATCTCTGGGTTGCAGACAGACGTTTACATGTAGTTCATGCAAAAGGGAGGAAAACTTTTGCCATAGTTACAGCATGAGTAGAAGAGGAGAAGTTGTAGGAAGAATGGGAGAGGAGAGAGAAACTCACAGGATGTTGACTGGAGAAAGAATACCACTTTTCAGAAGTGAAATCAGTTACTGTGAACGTACAGAATGCAGCTGATTAGCCCGAAGTAAATTTTTTTCTGTCATACGAAGTACAGATCTGTCTGAACATCAGTGAATTTCAAGAACAGAGTAGGTAAAGTGATGGTTGTTATTAAGGAAGTAATATAATGCTTAGAATTACAGATTTTTAAGTGGTGATAAATTCACTTTGTTTCAGCCTGCACTTGCCATTAAATGATGTCCAGCTCTAGTTCTTCTTGAAATAAAAAGGCAGAAATCGCTATTAGATCAACTGGTATAAATGTCCTGGATTGTTAAATTTTGGTTATGTTTCTGTCTCAATCAAGTAACTTGTGTTTGCTTGTCATTTAACGTCTGGTAAATTGTTTCAACTTGATAGGATGGCTTTAAGAGAGCATCTACCCATTCTCTTAATGTTTATTATTGATGGTGGTAATGTCACTGTTCAAAAAAGCAAATTATTCCTTCCTTTATTTTGAATTTCGGTGTTCGTTTAGTAATAAGTGGTCCTTGTACTTTCTTCACATACATAGGAGATCTTTACTTGCCCATTATTTTTCCGCTCCTTAGTAAATCATTAGGTGATTTTTACTGATAAGCTAAACAGTTTAGAATCTTGCTTTTTTAAAACAAGTGTGTGTATATATACATATTTTCTTCCACTTAAGGAAAGACCAAGAAGTGCAGTGGAGCAGCTGTGTCTTGCAGAAAGCACACGGCCTCGAATGACTGTGGAGGAACAGATGGAAAGAATAAAGAGACACCAACAAGCTTGCCTGAGAGAGAAGAGAAAAGGACTCAGTATCATTGGCGTTTCAGAGCACTCTCCTTCACAGAGTGTGTCGTCTGTCAGAGATAATCCATTCAAATTGGCACAGGTGGGTCCCACGTTCTTCAAAAACTTTAATGTGTCCAATTAAGAAAAAAGTTTCAAAATTGTTCTTTTTCCAAAATCACATGCCACTATGGGTGTCTATTTGAGACCGCTTGTACAGAGTAACAGTCACAATTCTCTGCCATACACAAGAGAAAGGGAGAAGACAACCTTCGTGCTTACACCTAATGATAGTAGAAGTCACTTCTTTGTCTTTTTGGAAAAGAAATAGTTCAAATCTACATATGTTTGATTATGCGTTGTGATGTTTGTGAACGGGTTTTTTTGGTCAAATCTAGCAAACAACATGAAATTGCAAGCTTTGTGACTAAAAGCAGTGTCGGGGAGAATCATGATTCAGTTGATGTACAAATTATGAAGATTTTTCTCCCATGTAATATATTCAAACATCTGTAACGTTTTTAGGTAGGAATGTGTATTTATGATGATAGCTCTTAACTGGTACTCTTCTGTTGTGGTTTTTGAGCCCATAAATACATAAAAATAGAACCCTCACTTGTCACTCATTCTTAAACAGTTAAGGCAAAGAAATGAGTTTATTCAATGGTTAAGGGTGGGGAGAGAGGAGGGAGATATAACTGCTGGTCATTAACCAGGAAATACTATCCTGAATATACATCTTACAAAAAAAAAAAAAAAAGGAGAGAGACAGACAGACACAAACCCAAAACCCAACTAACAAACAAAAAACCCACACTACTTCAGGACAAAAATATCAAATAGATTCAGGGTAGTGGATGTTAGACAGCCTACTACATTCTAACTGCTAAGAATTAGTTTTCTTTTTCAATAGCTTAATGGAGTTACCTTTTTTTTTTAATCTTCTGGCATACTTTTTTCCTCAGACCACACTGGTTTTGATTTTTTTTTTTTACACTGACATGGAAATGCCTTCTTTTATGTTTTGTACACATTTTAGCATCTGATTTTTCCAAAACCAGATTAAATGCATTGCACTGTTAAGAAGTCACATATTTCCAAATAAGTTTTAGCTTTTTTTTTTCCTCTGAACATGCTAAACTGCCTTCAGAGCTATACAAAAGTTACTTTTCTTTCCACAACATTGGATCCCCAGAAGACACTGAATTCAAGTTTTGCCTTTGCAGTACAGCATCTGTATTTGGGATGACATCATGAATGCTACACATGAAGGGGGCTCCTACAAATATTTTTGTGATTAATGCTGCCTTTCTCAAGAAAAGGATGTGCAAAGCAAGGCTTTGCAGATGTTTCTTTTTGTAGTTTTTATAGAGGTGGCTGAGCTTTACCACTTTCCAATGGTATCATTTCATTCCTCAAGGTGAGGAAACTGCAGTCATGCACGTGTCATACCTGGTGAGCCAGCACATTGGGAGCAGAGTGGGGGAAGTGGCCAAATTCTCTGTGCCAGCACTACTTGCTATGCAGAACTCAAAAGAATTTTGTTCATGTCAGCACGTTCTTCAGTCTTCTGTGTGAGATCAGTGCTACGTGGATGAGATAAGAAATTTATAGAGTAAGTGAGAACGTGTCTGAATTTAATATTTAGCTAGCAGTCCGTGCTACAAAATCACTTTTTCTATCACAACTTTAATTCTTCCAGAACGCTATTTGGCAAAAAAACCCCAAGATGAGGTATTACACTGTAGTAATAGCTCTTATTTTTAAAAGCGTAGTTTCTATGCCTATTGACTTTTATACAGAAAAATGGTGCAGTGGCATTAACTGCTGGAAGTCTTTACAGCTGGGGTTTGGTTATTTAAGATTTGGAGGAAAAAAAGGATTTTATAAACAGCCTACTGCGTAATTTTTTAAGTGATTACTGAAATACAAAAGGAAGTTGCTTCACAGTTGTTATTGTTTGGGACAAGTGTATGTTATGGGTGCATACTTTAGTTAGGAAAGGAAAGAGATTGATTTGTGAACTGACTTGCATGGAATTTCCTCTTAACAGAGTGCATGTGCTAAATCACAGGAATTCAGCCACAAGATTCACTACTTTCATGGCTCCTATTTTTCTCAGCCCTAGTACTTAGTTTGATAAGACTTAACACGAACCTCACTTCAGTTCCGTTTGCTGCCGAACATAATGTTCGCAGTTCACAGTCTTAAGTCACTTCTACCATCCTTCCTCAAATTTTTTATATCATTATTCTCTGCGCAATGGATTATGTTTTTTTAAGGAATAAGTGATATCCTCTGCCATTATCAGATGCTGTGTTGTCCTCTGTTAAATCCGTTAACAGCATAGGCTTGGAAGACACCCAAGATAATCGGAGAAAATGCACGCAGGTGCACAGTGAATTTTGTATTGAGAGCAGATTTTTATCCATCTCTTTTTTTTTTCCAACCAGAAAAAGCTATTTTTTAAAAAATCAGTGCTTATGAATGCAAATAAGAATGCTCCTAAGCCTGTGTGTGACTGAGCTAAATATGAATGGAATTTCAGAAGATAAAGGTGACTAATAGAAATGCTGGAGATCGGGGCGGGGGGGTGCACAGAAAGTACAATAAGCTTACAAAGAAAAAAGTATTTGAACTGTTTCGAAAGGTACAAAAATGAGAACCTTCTAAGTCCTTAACAATTTCCATTTTCCTTATTGCAATGTGGTATGCTTAAGGTTTTTTAAATATTTTTGTTATCACAGTCAGAGGATAGCACAAGACTCAGAACTGAGACTGTGATAACTTTTTTAAGAATATGTCTATATACCAATTTTGTTCCACAGAATCGAAAAAAGGATGATACTGTATCTGGTAACATGAAGGAATTAGAGAGCACTAGTAAAGAAAATAATTCAAAACAAAATGATGAAAGACCTGGAGAAGAAATAGCGCAACTAAAACATGATGGAGAACAAGAACATAATTCAGGTGTTACTAAAGAGGTACTAAACTATCCTTTATTGAACTGTTCATCAGCCTCTCTTGCAGTAGAAAAATATTTTTGAGCCACAGACAGCAGAGTATGGGAAATTGAGCCAGTTCCTTTTGCTTGGAAGATTAAGAGATCTTTTTGGATGTAACAAATATTCTGTAGAGAAGTGCAAAATTGTATCGGATCTGTCTATAGCTGAGAAATTGGATTTTCTTGTATATAATCTTCCTAAATTTCATTTTACTTAACATCATGTGTTACTATCTTGATTGATTGGAAAATTACAAAATCATGGTCTTTACTTCTTTGGAAACAAAACCGATACTAATTTATCTTTAAATAATAATCGTTGATCTGTTCATTGCTTAGGATATCCCAGCGTAGTTTTTGACAATCAATTAATACACCTGACTTTTTTGTTTGTTTGGCTTTAGTGCATCAAATAGTTCATAGGAAGCAGAATAAAGCTGACACAACGATCTATGCATGGAAGTAGGCAGTAACTGTAGTTTGTGCCATTTGGTCACCGGGTTGATTTCTGTCTTGACGATTGTCTCAAACTCACTTGGCAGTGAAGTACCTCGGTGTTTCTGGTACGGCAGTGCCCTGAACACTCAGCAAAAGCAGACTGACTGTGAAGAACAGATTACTGGAGCTGTTTCTACATAATCATATCCTGCTTATAGTTTAATATTTTTTTCCTGACTCATTTTTCCTTTTGTTTTCCTATTTTATATTCGGCTTTTTTAAACATATGTCTGATGGAGAATGGTATAAAATCAAATAATTAACATCTGTTGTTGTTATTTAAAAACACTTTGTATTGAGAGTCTGTTGCTTAAAGTATGCAAATCTTCTAAAGGAAAACTGTGTAACACACGTATTGGTTATATCTAATCAGACCTTTAAGAGCAGTGTTCAGGCTCATCAGCCATATACTCCAGTAGCTGGAATCTCTGTTGGCATTGTGAAGAGAGGGATAGCATGAAAAAATAGGCAGGCTGCAATCCAAAGAGATCAGATAAGTTCTGGAAGTTATTAAGCCAAGCCCTGCCCATTGGCTCTGGTATAAGGTTCAGGATGACTCTATTAACCTGAATGGTACTGATAAAAATTTCTTAAGTTATGTAATTCTGAGTTACTAAGTATACATGATGGCAAAATTTGTCTGTTAATAAAACTGTTTCCTGATACTGTATTTCTTATCTACCACTTAGTATGCGTTACAGCTTTTTGTTTCATGATTTCAATTTTTTTATAGCTGACAAAAACTGATGATCTTTTATCAGATGCACATGTTGTATCTGACTCAAAAGAAGTGAGTAATGAAGCGAAAGCAGAAAAGGAAAAGAAAAATAAATTGGAAGAAACACATGATGGTGATATAAGGTAAAAATAAAACAAGATGTTCTGAGGCTATTTTAAACTTGCACATTGTATTTATTAGCTGAACGGACCAAGCAACTAATGAAATACTGTCGCAAATACTTATAAGGTATATTTATGCGTGTTTGAGTGGTTTACATACAGAGAAATGTAGTGAGAAACCTAACCACTGCGGGGGTTCAGTAAGAGGTGATGAGTTGGTGGGAGGAGCAATGTTTATTTCCAAGTATTGCCCCAGTTATAAACAGAATACATTCATAATCCTTGCTTTGGGATACAAAATGTATTTAGTAATGTCATTTCAAGCCTTCTATCAGTTTATTAGGAAAGCTTCAGCCAGGGCTTCCATAGCAAGCTCTTTACCACTGATATTTAGGAAAACTAAATATCTAAAGACTAAGAATAAGCAGACTAAACAGCTTATTCTGTATCTCCTGCTTTAACTTTTTCTTCACTATTTTAGAGTATTGCAGAATTAGAGGAATATTGCGTCTTGGATATTCCTCTTTAAGGATTCATAACTTTAGTGTAAGTTGCACTGCAGATCCTAAGTGAGTTCTTACATTAGGTCGTAACTTACTTACAGCACCCTTCAGCAAAATAGATACCACGCAGAAGGAAACTGCATGAGTATGTGAAGGAAAGGAATTCAGTTTCCAGTGCTTTTTTTTTTAAGTCTTAACTTTACAAGGTAGAAGGGCTTCAAAATACGTGCTTAATTTATATTACACAAACTTGCAAATTGCAACTTTTTTCTATTAACAGAAAATTAAATTAACTCCTATACTTAGTGGTTAGCACCTGAAAATAAGTTAGAGTAAGTTCTAAACGCTGTGCTTTTTTTTAACCAGCTTGCAGAGTGTGACCACAGTTACAAACCACAAACCCAAAACCAGCTCAGAAGAAAGTGAAGTAGTTAGTGTTCAAGAACAAGGAGGGATTATTTCTTCATTTGAATTAGCAGCACAGTCTTCAAAAGGAAATCAGGCAACAGCAGGTATGGAAAAGAGTTAGACTGAAGCACAGCTTATACAGTACATACGTAAAACGATTTCATTTTGATCATGTCTTTTGACACTCTCAAACCCTTGTGAATTGAAAGTGCTGAGCTAGTCTCTATGTCAAGTGTATGGTTTCATAATGTAGAGAAAAACAGTTTCCCAGCGGACAACTACAGAAATTCCATTTTTCTGAGATTTTAATGTAGATCTTATGCTTGCATTTAATTCAGGGAATTAAATAACTATTGCCAGAAATCGAGTCATACTATAGTTGTTGCTTGGAGCAAATCCTTCCCTATTCATCTTGTAGAACAGCATTTCAATCCTGGATATGTATAGATTATTTACCCTTACCTCCTTGCTAATGGATGGCCTCAGGTATGCCCAAGATAGAGGAATCCTTGAGAGTTTCCAATATATCTAGTAGATTTTGAACTAGCAAGTGAAAGACCCTAGTTTGGTCATCTTTTCAGGAGTAAGGAAAGATGAAGAAACAGAAAACACTAGCCAACTGGTAAAACGACTGGTGGTGTATTACTTTGCAAGAAGAGAAGGCTGGAGTAAAGAAAAATTGTTTGCAAAGAGAAAAAAGGAGGGGAGTGAGTAGGGGAGGAGGAAGGAAAAAGATAGAATTTAAGACATTATTAGGATATTTGGTGATGGGAATGGTTAAGTAAGCCAAATCGTTCAATTTATGGATATAAAAGGTGACCTGGACCTTTGTAGTGCAGTCAGCGATCCTTTCTGTGACTTGATAATCGAAACCAGAACTTGTAAATACATTTTATAGTGCTCAGCAGAATAAAAAATGCTTAGTTAATCTGAGCTGGGATATAAAGGTGGGTCTGGGAGTATGCCGACTAGTTAAATTGTACTTTTTTTTTTCCCCCTCTCTTTGCAACATATCAGCAACAAATAACACATCGGCATTCATCTGTCTGCTGTTTGTTCCGTAGGTGTTCTGCTAGTCATTTATAGGCCTGAGTAATGATCTTTCCTGAGAACATCTATGTTCTCCCCTGAACTTGTGCTCATTGTGCTGATCAGATTTTAAGTCTTTACTTATGTAACTTTCATTTGGTTCTGCTTATATTTATTATGGCTTGAAATGGTGATTTTCAAGCTTATATTTGTTATGGCTTGAAATCATGCCTTCTGTAACTTGTATTCTTGTTTATCTTGCTGTATGACTCGCAGTGAAAAGTTTGCCTTCTTCACCAGAATCGTCATTGTCACCAGCTCCATCTACACAGACGCAGCTCACAGAAGGATCGCATTTCATGTGTGTATAGTTACAGAGAAGTACGTCTTTTTTTCCCCACCCCTCCTGCCGTTTTCCTAGTATTTTTCTAAGTATATATGTTCTAGTTATTTTTCCAAGAAACATCTGTAGACAATACTTGGCAAGACAAAGTTATCTGCAATGTTGAACAGAAACTAAACAGAAAACAAAACAAATGCGTGTATTGATTTGCTTGCAAGTAACGTATTCTCTATCCAAATACAAAGAGAAAGGACTAATGGGCTTATCAAGCACATTCTCCACAACTGGCAAGTTAATAGCCCTTGGAATTACATGAGAGACCTAAGCTGTTACAAAACAGATACCCAGTTAAGGTATGAGCATCGGTGCTCAGGTGCAAATGAATCTTGACACTTCAGTCATGGTAATAGGCAACTAGAGCTAGATCTCTTAGTGATGTGTAGGAGGGAATGGTCTAATGGCCCAAAGAGTTTATGGCTTAAGACATAGATGACTGAGGCATGACAAACAGGAAGGGAAAAAATGAGGGTGGAAGAAATGGAACAATTACAAAACTTTTTTTTCTTTCTATAGAGATAGCCCCACACCGTTTCTCTTCCCTTGTCACAGTAGGCAGATTTCTTCTAGGAATCAAGTTAGAAAGCATGAGTTAGGCTAGATTACATGTTCCTACCTGTAGTGTTACCTACTTAATGAATGGAAATGGAAATATAAGTAAGCATATTTGTTTATACAAGTGTTTAAAGAAATTAATAGGATACCAATGTGAATGCTTCAGCACTTTACCAGCATTTAAATCAATCCACGTTTCTTTGTTGTCAGGAAGTATCTGTTTAAATAAGCTTTCTACTAAAAGAATGAACTTTGTTTCAGTAGTAATGTTAAATGCCATAGCTTAGGTAACTTAAGAAAACTTTAAAATCAAGAAAACTTTAAAATAGAGATGTTTTCAGTCATTTAGCGTGAGATCTGAAAATGCCTTTTTTTTTTGTTTACTGTCCCAATCTGTATTGCCAAGCTTTCATCTTAGCAATAGTAGACTTATTCATCACAGGCACCTTTCTTGTATGAACTATGGCCAGGAAACTACTTACAGTCTTTTAAAAAAAAAAAAAAAATATTTTCATCTTTTTCTCCTTTTGAGAGAGTGGGAAATGCACTCTTCACATCCAGTACTGCCACCTGTGTTGCTGGCTTCCTGATGGATGTGGTCTGTCATGATTAGATTTAGCTTGGACTTTTGTACTTTTATTGAAAAGTTTTATTACAGAAGTATTTAAAAAAGATAAGTGGGACTATTGAGTTTTTCTGGAAATACTGATTTGTGTTAATGCTTTTCAGTTTCACTGTATAAATACACATGCATTTATCATGCATCTTCTTCTTAAATAGGACAAACATTACCCCATCAACCTGGTTTCAGGTCAGTAGTGAAACTGAAACTGCACTGCTGAATTCTGGCCATAGCCACAGCACGCCTCTCTTGAAAGGGAAAGCAACCTATAACTTCACTGGAAACTTTTTACTAATTGCATTAAGTTGCTTTCAACTCTTTTGTCATCAGTTCCAATGATCACATCAGCAAATTCTTTTTTTTTTTTTTTTTAAGTATTCATGCTAAATGTGAGATTAGCGACAGTGAAGCACTTATATAGTGATCTGCTTTGTAACTTAATGCCCAAGCCCTGACATCCCACAGCGTGGTGTATCCTCGTAGGTAATACTGGAGCTGTGACTTTTCTGTGTTAAGTACAATTCTACAAATAAGCCTTAATTGCTTATGACAAAACAGTGCATCTGGGATGGCACTTGTAAAACTAATGCTCTGCTTACACATGCCTCGCTGTAATGAAGCAAGGATTCCAGAACTTAAAATACACCCCTTTTGGCTGTTTAGTATTTGAATTGAGTTGGAAAAAGTATTTAACTCTGTGCATATATGTTCCATGTTTCTTTGCCGCACTCGATGCCTCTGTTGGCTGTTTCCTAGGAGCTCCAAAACAAATTCATGCCGTGAGCTGGGCCTAGTATACATAGGAGATGTAGGAAGCATAGTCTGCTTGCCCGCAGTATTTACTGCCCCTTACCTTCTGGGGCTGCTGTTCCAGTAGTCCAGTGTTTTGTGCTTTGTTGAAAGATAGGTCTTTTAACGTGCGAGAACTCCGTGTCTCTGATGCAAGAAATCCTACGCGGCAGAGGGAACTTCGGAGCTGTGGGATCAGCCCTGTTCCTATGCAACCAAATTTTTCAGGCAGCATCTGGAAAATGTATGGTAGATTTCAGAGAATAATGAGGTAATACCTAAGTTTGGCTTTTACGGTCAATTAGTAAAATGATACTCTTGGCACGATGCCAGGGGAATTTGGCATAGGAAGTTGGTGGCACAGGATATTGTAGGACTAAGGGAAAACCCACTAACACAGAGCTACTTTCTTTGTCACGGCCCTTGCTTTGCAGAGACAAATCTGGATGTGTACTACGCTAACATTGTTACGTTTTAAGCATTACATTTACACTGAGTAACGGAGGGATAATGACATTTTATACAGCACCTGGATCCAAAGCTCAGAAACATTTTTACTAACAAACTGTTAAAAGCTATTTATAGAAGTCCTTTCAGCAATTACCAAAATGCAGCAAGCTCTGGGTGCAGCGCTTGAACTTCAGAACACCTCACAGCTACCCTGCCATTGCGATGTAGCAACTGAACACTACTGCATCCCTCTTCAAACCGTGCCTGTCATTTGTAAGAGCAATTAGGGTCTTTGCTAATATTACCGGGTTTATATGAAGAACGTTTGGAGATGGCCATGTACACAGGGTAAAACTCTCAGAATAAATGGGCTTTCATACGAAGTTGTGTAAATGTGAAAAAAGCTTGCTTCTGCTTCTTGCTGTCAAAGTATCTTGACAGCAGTATTATTCATCAGGAAAACTGATTTTGGAAACAACCGATTTCTAAAACACTTTATGTTCTACACCATTGATAACTACTGCTAGGATGAGGTCAGAAATTCCTTGCTGTGTTTAATCCTAGGAGTTGCTTTATACAATATTCTGTTGTTTCTAAAATAGAGTAACTTAATCTATGTCTGTCTTTCAGCACTAATGGCTTCTGTTGAAACAATTCATGCCTGAGATGTATGGACCTGACCTATGAAAATATGAGAAGATATTGTACAGTATATTTTAAATCTATGAAATTCATAGTTCTGATGCTTTTGGCCACAGAGCATCATTTTATCACTTCCTGGGAAATGTTTATTCCAAGAGAGCTTTAAATGGCCCACATGTACACTCAACAACCTTCCGATTGTTCTCCTGATACCAGCTTGCTGCTATGATTTCTGTGCACATAAAATAAAGGCTCTTTTTTAATGTGCAGCCTACAGTCAGAACTTTATTTGATATTCTTCAGAATTTAATGTTCTTTTAATTATGGATCCTATAAGTTTTACTTTTTGCTTTTTTTAGATGCTTAACTCGGTTAATTTTACATATCACCACTAAACCTTGTTTTACACTTTTTAAACACTACAATTTATTGTTTTAACATTTTATTTGTAAAATTTTTATATATATATACATATAGATATATTTAAAATGTGCCATTTTTATTATTGCTTGGTAAAATATGTCCTGTTTCTGCTGTAATTATTTCTTGGTCAGGTTGCAACGTCAGCAGTTACTGCCACACTTCTGTCAACATATACATGAATGTTAGTGGTTACTTTTTCTTAAATAAAATGGAGTGTAGGTATTTTGAGGTACTGGGCTTTTCCTTCGTTGGATTAGGGTGTGTACAGCAATAAGCAGGTATTCAATCCAGTGCTTAGTTTGTGTACAAATGTAATTATGTTCATTGTGTATATATTATACAATGAGCACATATGATGTAAGTATAAGAAGCCACTTATTATTGTTCAAATACGAATGTTCGTATCCCATTTCTTTTATATCATATTAAATAAATGTTGATGTTCTTACTTAAGGACTTGTATGGTTAGTATTTCTTCCAGCAAACAGATGTCACACTGTGTTCCACCTTTTGCTGTGGGGAATGCAACAATTCTTATCTCATTGGCGACATCACCTGTCAACCAGAGTAGCAGTGACAGACTCTTAAGAGATTCCAGTCTTCCTCTGCGGGAAAGAATAAGGCTGCAACACAGAACAAAAAGACAACGTGAGACTGAGACGCAAGAACTACAGGTTCAGCTCCTGACTCTCCCAGACTTGTATCGTGATGTTGGAATAATCACTTAGTCATTCTGTGCCTCCGTTCCCTGCCTGTTTACTTGAGAGGTAATAGCCTGTCTTACTGGGGTGTGGTGAGTAGTGATTCAATATTTGCAAATGTTGAATGCCACGTTCAGTGGGGTTAAGGAGAGAAGTATGATGATTCCTTGAGGCTTTGACATCTGCAAAGCATCTTCCAGAAACTGAAAGAAAACCTGAAATAATTTGTCAAGTGTCGTCATACTACAGATGTTAATAGCTTCACTTTTCCGTCTTACACAGCTGACTGAATTTGCCTGAGACAAAAGAGGTTTAGAAAAGAATGATGAAAAATGAAAAGATTTAAGGGAAAGCTTTTGAATCTAGGATGTAAAGCTAAGAAATCTTTTAAAGGTTCAGGCAACTGCTGTGTGCTTCAGTGCACGTGTGTGCTGTAAGTGGTAAGGCAAGTTTCATAAGACGACAACTTCCAGCTCCTGTTGTGCTTTTTTAATCATACAAATCATATCCTGTTCAAGTTAATATTGCTGTACATATAATTCATTGTGCTTTTCGATAGAGGAGTGCCTGAGATTGAAACACAGTTTGAAATTAACTCTTTATCATTGCGCCCCCTAAGTAGGAGTTTGTGTTTGTTGTACTCTTGCCACTCCCAGCTCTGCTGCCAGTTCTTCCTGGGGCTCTTTGCCACGAAGACACGGAGAACACTGTCTGTCTACCTGTCGTTTTGCCATTTTCTTTGAAAAGTTGAAGAAGTAGGAAGCAGAATTTAGCAGCAGAGCTTGGAGGGTCATGGTGAAAGAGATGGCTGAAGGAAAGAAGATGAATCATGATGCAGGCAGACAGCATCCAGCTGGAAGTTTGCCCAAATAGCCTTTCTTCTTTTTTTTGAAACAGTAGCCCCAAATTAGCATGTCCTTCCATCCAAAACAGAGCGAACAAGAGGAACGTGATTTTTATTGCTCAACCAGCTGAGGTTTAAGTTCAGTGGCATCACTGGAACACCTGGGGCAAAGCAAATATGACACACCCAGTTCTCTCCCTAACCCTTCTAGCGAGAGCTGTTCAGCTGTCAAGCTTTGCAATCTCTTTCTGTCCTTGCTGCAGAGAAAAGAATTGCAACCAATAAAGGCAAGAATGACTAAGTGGGTTTTGGACATTTACAGACCTTGTCTGTGTTTAAAGCAGTTGTCAGTTTGGTACATCTGCAAAGTACGTGCAGTTTATACCGAAGCTGGGGGAGGGTGGGAGAATTAGCAAGTTTTTGCTGGTATAACTGTTGGCAAAGACAGCAAATGTAAATGATGCGGGAATGTGTTAATGCTCATAGACTATAATTTCACTTCCTGTGGGCACTTGCAGCAAAGACTTGCAGTTTCATTGGGTGCTCTATTTTTTTGTGTCTTATGGGAAAAATGTATGGCTCTGTGTTATCACAGAGCATCTACTGTCTTTTACCTCATCAGAACAGCTCATCCCAGTGATCATACTCCTGAGGTACAGAAATATCAGAATACTGATATTGTCAGCCTTCAAACATCTATTTTAAGTTTGTATCTAGGATATTTTTATATTTCTGACTGATTGCTTTATTGGCTATTGCACTGACACTTGTATATATGGAACATGTGCTTTTTTTCAAAAGCAAGAGTCCTTAGGAATAATGCAACACATTCTCTACAGATGTTCGTGCTTTTCAGAACCAATTACATCTATTTTTGTCTTTTGTTCACCATTTGCATTGTTCCAAGACTACTAGAGAATGTGATTCTTTTAAGTCCCTTAATAAAGTGACATTACTCAAAAAGTTATAGTTGGTGTTTTGGCAGTTTTTGTGTGTCGTGGACTGGCTCAAAGAGAAAGACCTCACCAGGTAGTTGAAACCCAAACCTTGTTTATATTATTACTGAGGGGGAAAAAGTAGTCTTCAGTTAATATTTCCTCATAAATATATCTGTCATAGAATGAATCCAATAAGGTTCTATTTTCAGGAAATCGGAAAAAATTTTAAACAGTTCATTTCTATCTAAATCACTTTAATTGGACAGTCTGGGAAAGAATTATTACTCACCCTATTGGATCCACTAGATGTAGTAACCAGGAGTACATGCGTGAAGAACGTTAATGGATTACGCAGTTAGTAATAGATCTACTAAATTCTCTAGCACTTGGACTGGTGGCTTAAGTTATACCCTGGTTGAGTAAAGCAGCAGGGTGGAAGATCTTTAATCAGCAGTGGTGCTGGATAACTCTTACCCCAAACTTTTCATTATATTCTAACTAAAAGGTGTGGATTTTTTTTTTCTTTTCTAATAAACCATAAATAGTATTCACTCAGATCTCAGAAGTGGGTCATCAAGCCTTTTCTGCACAATACTCTTTTGTCCCAGTGATCCTGGATTTTGCTATACTTATTTTCTTAAGTTATTCTAGGGTAGTTTAATCTTTTTTCAGTTTGAATCTTCAGTTAAAATGTTATTTTCCATCCTTTGGAAAGTTAACATTTGAACGGTCAATGAACAAATTGCCTATACCTGGCATTAATAATATATCTGAAACAACTTAATCTAACTTTTTTAAGGATGCACGTGAAGATAACAAAGCAGCATCTGGCCTTCATTTCTTCTAAAGAACATTATATATACTTGCTGTTACATCCTTGGAGCTGTTTAGCTTGTCCATATGGGAACACTGAAGAAGCTGCTACAAAATAAAATGGAATATACTGGTGGCTGAAAGCAAATGTCTGGCCCAAAATAGAGGCTAAAAGCAGCTGCTTTCTGAACTTGACACGCACAACTTGTTAGCCAGCTGTTCCAGATGTCAGTATTCAAATGTTACTTGTGGAATGAAGTTTTTTGGGGTTTTTTTGGTGATGTTTCTTCATTCTGTCATATGCCAAAGAAAATGTTTTTAAGGTCTGTCTAAATATTATGTAGCTGTTGTTGTGAAACTGCAAGCAACTCTTAATCGTAGCTATGGGTAAGTAACATCACAGTGGTTGCTAATTGGCTCACGTAGCAGTCTTGCTGTGTGTTTAAGAACACTTATTTAGGCTGGGTTAGGTTCTGTTTGGAATAAAAAAAAAAGCTGTAAGCAAACAGTGCTGTTTCCAGTGGACTGCTGTAGAGTATATCAGGACAAAAACAGATGTGATCTCATTAGCTTCTTTATTGTTGAAACCAAACCTAAAATAAGGAATTAATTTTTTTGTCAAATTCTATCCAGATCCCTGTTCTATGGAGCAGGAATACTTCAAAGAATTTCAGACTAAAAATGGAAACACCCTCTTCCTCTTTTGAAGGTGAAATGAGTACTGTTACAAAAAAAAAAACCCAAAAAAAACCCAAAAACACCACGTGGGTTTAACTTATACGTAGAAGCAGGAAGACTTACTTACGGCCTAGAGATTTGGTCAATGAAAACTTTCAGAAAAATACCTGATCCTCATCTGTTGTCATCTGGTAGTTTTCCTGAATCACAGTGAAGTGACTGGCACTGTCCAGGACTCTCTTCTGCAACTTTAAATCCACTGCAGCCCAACGTGTAGAATATTCTGCATTCCTTGTACGGAGAAAAAATGCCTTACCCCTACAACAGCTGTCTGTCCCTACAATAAGCAGCTGAATCCAGGCCACCAGTTTCTTGCTTGAAATCGCTAAATACTGCAGGTGCTTGGCATCTTGAAAGATCAAGCTCAAAGCACATCATGTGAGGCTCCCAACATTTCTAAGGAACTTGCATATGAATCTCCCCTATTTTCAGCAATAGATTCTACTTAGAAGAAAAATGATTTTTTTTTTCAAAGTACTAGTCACATTGCTAGAAATCAAATAATTAGTGGGTACAAATATATAAGAATTTATTTGAGAAAATTGTCATTAATTGACAAGAGTACATTTCAAAGCAATTGAAAAAAGCTGCAAAATTCAGCATCTCTCAACTCATAAAAATCACCTCTTCACGATATTAATTTCTGCCGAGTCTTGACACTGATTACACGTGTAGTTGACTGTTCTGTATTGTGCAACTTTCTTCTTGGTAAAATCCCAAGTCAGCAAGAACGTGGAAGCTGTTTCAGATGTTTTAGCTTTAAAGATGAATGAGTTTTATTTTTTTAAAATATTTTCATGCTTATCCATCAGTCTTGGAAACAGCCGTTAGTGGCTACTTCATTTATTGTTTTTATACACTGAAATGGTCACATCTAAACAGAGAGAAAAAAAGACAACTGAACTTTCTGATTAATGTTT